CGGCGCGGCCGGGCGGCGTCGCAGAGCGCAGCCAGCGGAGGCGCCCCGACTCCCGCAGGTACCTGCTCGGATCCCCGCCGCGCGCTGCGGAGTCGGCTCCGTGGACCGGCAACTTTCCCCGTCTTTGGCTGCGCTAGACCCGCAGCCGCAGGCCGGGGCTCGCGTGCAGACCCCGCGGGAATGCGCCGGCAAGTGACCTGGCACCCCGCTGGGCGCGCCTCGGAGCGCCCTCCGGTCGCCGGCGCCCGCCGTCGCTGGGGCCCCAAGGGCTCGCCTGTTGCGCGAGCTGCGGGCTCCGAGGCGGGGTGGGGGCTCCTGGAAGAGGCGGGGAGGGCTTCTAGGGCCAACTTTAGCGTGTGGGTCGGCTTGGGTTGCGGTCGGGGGAGGACGGGCGGGAGACCCGGGAATCGAGGCGCCGGCTGGGCGACACCCGCGGAGGGGCGTCCCTGGGGCGTTTCCACGGCCGGGAACCGGGTCTTTCTCTTCCTCCACAGGAGGCGCTTTCCTGGCGAATGTAAGTGCCTCCCGGGCCTCCTGCTCCGCCTTCCTCCCCGCCTCCCCTCTCCTCTCCTCTGTCCGGGCGCCCAGCTCCGCGCCCCGCGACAGTTGCGGCGAAGAGCGCGCCCAGGGCCGGCGCCCTGCTGCAGCGATGCGCCCCCGGACGCCGGCGCGCTCCGGGCGGGGAGGCCCACGGACCCCCTGAGTCTGGACAGTGGGGATGGTGGGGAACAGGTGCACTGAGGTTGGAAACTCCCCTTTCCCTCGCCCCTCTGGGCGGCAGCTGCCAGAGCTCTCGAGAACGGTCTGGAGAGCCAGCCAGACCTGCCGGCTGTGGCCGCGACAAGCGGGCGCCTTTCGCATTGCAGGGCTGGTTCAGTTTGTGCGTCTCCCCCTCCCCCTTCCAAGCCTCCCTTCTGTCCCTCTAAACCCGGTCTGTTGCTTTTTCTTTTGAGAGACTGAGCCAGTAGTCTAACTCCGGCAGCCGCGGCTAGGATGCCGGACTGCAGAGACTCCCTGCACTCCCCCAAGTGACCCCAAGGCCCTCGAGTGCTGCTGGGGCTGAGGGGTGGGGCGGGGGTGTTCTTTGAGGTCCCCGCGGAGAGGTGCTGTTCTCAAGCTTGGCTTCTCTGAAGAATGGGGCAGGAGAGGAAAACCAGATCAGAAACCGTCCAGTCCCCTTTCATGTATTTGCTTACGTCGTTTGCATAACCATTTACTAGTAAAGTATCCGGGTTGTCCCCCGTGTAGACTACTTGCAAATACCTGCCCAGGTAAACAGGAAGCATTTTCCTGAGCACCTGCCCCCTAGTCAAAGGCAGTTGCCTTAGGGCTTCTCACGTCAAGGGCTGAAAAGGGCGGCTTTGCCCAGGGTCCCTGAACTTGGCCTGCGGTACAGCCCTCGCCCCTTCCAGGGCTCGCAAAGCGCAGGACAATGCGCACGGATCTTGCATCCAGCCCAAGGGTGACTCCGCGGAGGGATACGCAGGGCAAAGGAACTTCTTGCACCTGGTCTTGTCCTGTTCTTTTCTCAGCCACCAGACGCGTTCGTTGTGTTCTAATACTGAATGTGTCATTTCAGAAGTGGGAGTTGTCATGATGGGGGCACTGAAGTGCTTAAGAACTCTGAACCCAAAGATGTTGTGAGTATCCTAAGGAGATCGGCGGGGTCTGTTAAATTCAGCCGTGTGTCTGAGCCTGTATTCTGGAAAATCACCCCGAATAAAGTTATTAATGAATGCCGCAAAGCTTAGCAGTTGCTGAGCAAATGTATGAGAGCAAAATGGAAGGTTGGAAGTAGTCTTTGTTCTGTTCTGAAATATTAAATATTATGAATCCTCTGAATTTGTAATTTCAGACAGCTCTGAGGCTTGGGTTTTCCAGCAAAGCACCAACTAAGCATTTTTCTTCTTTCCTTAATTTCTAAAGAAAGAAGCCTAAAGTGGGGACTTCGGATATCGCCTCTGCTCTTTGCAACCTTTCCCAGACGCTGTGGCCCCTGTTTTTTCCAGAGACCTCCATCTGCCCCGTGTCTGGCATTTGGGGTTGGAAACTGTGTCAGCTTCCAGAGAGCAGGCACCACAGGGTTTTCCTCCTCCTCCTTCTTTTATTTTTAATAGATAACATTTATTGGCTGCATACCATATGCCAGCTACTCTGCTGGGCACTTTTCCAGGCATTATCTCACTTAATCTTCGGAACAAACCCATGAGGAATGAGGCTGTGGTTCTTCAGGCTCTATCTCTGTGGCAGGGGCAGCAAGTCCATTTTCCCAGGTCCATGGGAGACACAAAGATGGGCTGGCAGGTCTCTGTCTCACTAGCCAGCATGAGGGGGGGCAGGTGTTGAGAGAAAGGGGTGTTCATTACCCTTGCTCATCAGGAGCCAGAGGGTTCTTCCCAGTACCATTTGTTGACACACCCATCAAGAGTCATCACGGAGAACCGATGAGGACTGGGGACCGGGGTTCTGGCTCTGATTTTCTGCCTCTTGGTGGATCCTTGACTCGACACCAGTCCCTTCTCGGAGTCTCAGTCTGTGTCAGGCAACGATCTAGTCTCAGCCAGGATCTAGGTGGCCGCTGTACAGTTGTGGGGAGTAACAGTGTAAAGGGATCATCGACGGAAAGTTATTCCAGAGACCAGTCTGACTCTTGAGGGTTCGTTCAGGCACCTGCTTTCTATGCTGTCAAATCTTTCGTGTGCTGAGATAAAAGCATGTCAGCAGGCTGAATGTGAGGCTTGGATGTGCCTGCACTTCATTCTTCTATGAGCAGCTCGGCCTTCCCAGGCCCTGGTAGAGGCGCCATACAAACCTGATAGCACTTCCTACAATTTACTTAAGGCAAAGAGTCTGATTGGCCAGAGATGGCACAACTTTGCGGTTAAAGATTGTGGTTTGTAGCTTCGGATTGAGAGGCCTTGTCTGGGTTCTGGCAAGGGTGTTCCAACATTCTTGTCTTTTGAGGTCAGTATATCTTACTTCTGGGCAGTGTCTTCTTGTGGGTTTTCTATGGGTGGTGCCTTCCTGAAGCCACTGAAATCAGACCTTTGACCTCTGTCTTCCCACTGGGGATTAGACTGTGCCTGGCCAAGCTTTGGTTCCAAGGCCTTTTGAGGGTTGAACGTCCTTAGTGAAGCTTATAAAAATGAGCAGGGCCATTATTTGGCTGTGTCTATCTATGTCTGTTTGCCTGCCTATCTATCCATCCTTCCATCTATCTTTACCGACGTGTAGTAAGGTATCAACAGCCGCAGATTCATCCCACTGGCTCATTAAAACATAAATCCTGTAGTGTAGATTCTCTGGATCTGTAATGGTAGAAATCTCATGAAAGTTCATGGATGCCCGTGAACTCCACCTATTAATTAGTTTCCCTATACTTTTGATCGAATTAGAAGTCACATGTCATAGTGGTGTCGGATGGATGCGAGCACCGAGCATCTGTCTCCGTGTCGCCCAGCCGTACTCTGGGAAACAGGAATACCCTTTTCCTTCTTGAATTTAGTGTCTTTTGTAGGAGGCTTTGAAATCAAAGACACAGGCTGCCCAGTTATGCCATGTGGCCCCAAACTCTGATGGGTTTTCTTGTTTTTCTTTTTTTTTTTTTTTGCCAGTCATTGCTACCATCCACGTCAGCAGTGAAGAACACACCAATAAATCCATGTGTAAATTGGTATCCATTCCCATTTAACTGGCATTAGCTGTTGGAGTAGGTTTCAGATGGCCCCACAAATGCAGAGTTAGGTCATGAGGTCTGGGGCATTCGATAGCTCTGAGACTAAGAACACCAGGGCTGGGTGGTATAGAAGGAACAGAGAGAGAGAGAGACTCTCTCTGTAGGCTGGGCTGCTTGGCTGATTGGGAAGAAACAGACAAGCCAAAACCAGTTTGTGTTGGCATGGACTTTCCACTTTATTTATTTATTTTTTAAAGATTTATTTATTTATGCATACAGCACTGGGGTACAGGCCAGAGGTGCAGGGGCGGTGAGAGGACTCACCAGTGACAGAGTGGGGAGCAGAACAGGCAGACTGACAAGGTACACTGCTGATGGAGCAGAGGTGAGACAAGAGAGGTCTGCTGCGCCACGTGGGTCACCTCCAGGGCGGGGGTCAAGCTCATGCTGCGGTGGCTGTGGCTTGCTCATAACGCTATGCTGAGCTTTCACCCCTTGCACCACCAGGGAGGGCCCAGTGTCCACTTTAGATGATGGAGAGACTCGGGCTGAACAATATTATGATGCATTTAACACCCCTGAACTGTACTCTTAAAGGTTGTGAAGCTGGTCATGTATATGTTGTGTGTATTTTGCTACAGTTAAAAAAAAA